TGGTCCGGATGCCGTTCAGAAAAAGGTTTCTGCCAAAGGAATGTACAAAGATGGCAGTGGCTGGAAGGGGCAGGCGCATGTTAGCCAAAATGGTTTGCAAGAAATTGTTAGGCAAGTAGGTGGAGCTTAGATTTGCATTCGTAGTGTACTCCTGCGTAAATGTGCTTTTGGGCCTCGTAGTAATGTGTTTCGAGACGTGAATCGATCCAGTCCTACTGTAAAAATCGGAGAAAGTGCAAGTCGGCCGTTGGGACCAAATCGGGGTATGATCCGTGCGCAATTAGTAAGGCTCAACGCTTTCAAGAAGTGATGAGTTTTTTATGAGTTTGGGAAGATCATGCCCGATTATAGTCCCATAATCGGTGTTGCCCAAGGAGGGCAAGATTATAACGAGCTCATAGCCAGTCAATCGGGAGCCACTCGTCTGGTCATTTCCCGCTCATCTTCTGCTCATCTCCCACTCATCTCCTGTTCATTGGCCGTTTTGTTTTTCCTAGAAATATTTTAATTAATTCTACTCGAATCAAATAATGAATTCCGAAACCAAACTCAGCCGATAAAGGCAACCTTTATCTTTAGTGTAATTGTTCAGAAAAGGGTGCATTATGCAATCCTTTATTTATGTGATATAATAGTTGCAAAAGAGTTTCTTTTGTACAGGAATAAGTGACATATTCCCAAAACAAAACCCATATGGGATTTTGACTAGAAAAGGTGATTGTTTTCAAATCCTATCCCAAAAGAGATATTCAACTTTATTTGAGCCGAAAATGAACTGCAAAATATAATAATTGGTAAACCCTTTCCCTATACCTTTTTCAACCGATATATCTGGCTGGTGGCGTAGTGCTACCAGTACTTGTTCCAGTATCCGCGCAGCTGTCAAGCGCATGGATCCCGACTACGATTTCGCTAGCTCTGCTCATTCTCGCTGCTTCTATAAAGATGAGAAGTTCAATCCTGATCTACCCGACGAAGGATACCTTCAAAGCTACCTACTGTTGCAGGTATGTCGCCCATTATCAGCACCGCTACTCTTAATTTCATGCTATAACTCTAGGTCTATCGGACCATATATACATCGCCTTCGTCAGCAAATGAACAGTCCGAGGACGTTGAGAATCTTCCACCTGCGAACAAGAAGCAGGCTTCCAACAGCCATCGCGCTCATGTTGCCAATATCATTCATTTATCGGAAGTCACTGGCAGATCCATCGCCTATGCGGCCGTACATGTGAGTATCGTCCAGGGACCTGATTGTGAACTAATAGTTCTTCCATAGCTTCACCTTGCACTAACGGATGCTTCACGCTGGGTTCACTCTTATGACGGCTACAACTATCAAGACCTCTGGAACTTCATCGTTGACTTCTTTGAGGACCCGATTGACGACGAGGCGGCAAAGCAGGCCAAAGATTTGCTCAAATGGTGGACCGAGTACGTGTCACTCTTTCTCTTCCTTGTGTTCTCAACTGACGATTCATCTAGCCGTATCTTCACTGGAACGGGCTCCGCTTCAAACAGCCGTGGAACGAAGATGATGTCTCGCCGTCAGGCAGTCGCCAAGACTCTCCAATCCCAGTCTTGAATGCGTGCATTGTCCGATGCCGTTTTGTATCTATTACCATGCTTGTGACATCTTCGGTAGCACGACCATGTATTTCTTGGCTTGCGACAAATTCCAATGCGTTGATATCCTTCTGCTCTGCATATATAAGATCATAAGCTGCATATAGAAAATATCAAGTGAGCTACTGCCTTGAGAAAAGCAACCGATGTACATGACATTAGATAGCACTACGGTACTCTGCTATTCTTCTACTTAGGCCATGATATTCTGGCAAGAACATCTTAATATTATGCAGTGCATATACTATCGTAGCTGAACTATAGTGAGATATAAGACATACAGGACATCCTACCGAAATTATGACCTGGTTATAATCATTGTGAAATTGGTGGTGGGGTACATGGCGCTATTCAACACTATAGTAAGACTATAATGTCCCGGTCTCGTTACAACAGCCATATCCCCTATAACGTATTGCATACCGTCGTGAGGTTTCCGCCAATTTACTGATGTAGCTTCATTACTGGTTTGAGTCACAACAGTGACCGTTGTTATTCATGTATGCTACTGTATGAGAAATCAGATCTTCAGACTTTATCAACTCGCATCGAGTGCAAGTACAGGCCGCATTATGGAATTGCTCCAGAAATATCCGAAGTTCATCAGTATCCAGTGCCGCAGTAGGCATATTGTGGGCTGCATTGTTTCATGCAAGAAGTGATTCCAGGAGATATGACTGTCTCGAGTTGGCCTGAATTTCCTCGAGCCTGAGATGGTCGGAGCATCGAGCGACGAGCGCTAGCTTATGGTCGACTCGGCGTCAAACCTAAAAAGCAATGAACATCGCCCAGGACATACGGGCGTCTATTACTACACAACTCTTAACAGCTCTTCCCGAGCTCTCCCCGTAACTCACGATGCCTTCGACGCCTGGCACACCTAGTGGCAAATCAGCTCCGGTAACAGCAATGAGCGAAACACAAACAGTCATGCAAGAAGAGCCAGAAACCATCTTCCTTGCTGCCCAACGTGGAGACCTCACATTATTACAATCCTTGTTCGCCCAGGGTGCCAAGGCTACCGACCGAGATTCTCAAAACATCACCGCTCTCCACTGGGCTTCCATCAACGCGCATCTACATATATGTAGAGAGTTGCTTGAGCGAGGTGCAGAAGTAGATGCTCGAGGAGGCGATTTGAACGCTACCCCGATGCAGTGGGCTGCTCGGAATGGTTACCTCTATGTGGTGAAATTGCTCCTTGAGTGGGGAGCAGATCCGACTCTCACCGATGGCCAAGGATACAACACCCTTCATCTCATCACCCATTCGTCCGCAGTCATGCCTCTGCTCTATCTGTTACAGCAACGGAAAGTGGATGTCGATTCGGTGGACCTTCAAGGCCACACGGCTCTGATGTGGGCGGCATACCAAGGCGACGCTGTATCCGTGGACGTCCTACTGAAGCACGGTGCAGATGTATCGACGAAGGACGAGGGTGGTCTCACTCCTTTACACTGGGCTGTCGTTAGGGGCAACAAAACTGTCATCAAGAAGCTGTTGCAGAGCGGTGCAGATGTCTCTGCAAAGGACTCGGGCGGTCGAACTCCCAGGGACATGGCCATCGAGCTCAAGAGCATTGGACCATGGAAACGTGCGTTGGAAGAAGGCGGATGGGACGAATACGGTGTGCCTCGAACTCCCGTGTTCAGTAATCCGAAATACAACTCCATCGCTATATTCGTCCTTCCTACCCCTCTGCTCATCCTCGTCTTCAACACTATCGCGGTATCCTGGCTTCCTTGGTACACTTCCTTAATTCTCGCTGCTGCTGAGTGTTTTGCCGCGGGACACATTCTCACACGTGTGCTGCTAGGACGAAAACCTCAAGCGGAGAGTCCCTTTTTTGCTGGTATCATTTTCGCCTCTCTTCTCATTGTGGTCTGGTGCTGGGCTACGACTCTTACGAACGTTCACGATCATCCGACTGCTCATCTTGTTTTCATCGTATCTGCTTCTCTATGTCTTTACAATTTTTGGCGTGCTGTATGCCTGGATCCCGGATTCGTTCCCAATCGTTTGATGGACTCTGTTGAAACGCTTGCCAGTGAAGGTAGGTTGAACGGTCAAACGTTCTGTGTTAGCTGTATGGTGTGTTGTCTCCATCTCTCTTCCTACCCAATCATTCTAATCGCTTCCTCTCTAGGCACGCAAGCCTTTGCGCTCCAAACATTGTCGTATATGCAACAGATGCACGGCAAGACATGACCACCATTGCCCTTGGATTTGGAATTGTGGTTTGTTTCTCAATCTTTGTATGCTGCGGTTGGAATCAATGATGTTTTTGCAGTCGGAGCCAATAATCACCGTCAATTCGTCCTTTTCCTTTTGAACCTTGTTATCGGAATCATCACTTTCATCTATCTCACCTATCAATGTAAACTTTCCAGCGACGACTGAATTTCTCTTGACTAATTCATCTTCCTCAGATTTCATCGATACTCCAAAAATGATATCTTCTCCTACATGTCCTCTCCCAGATATAATCTGCCCAATTCTCGCGACAAAATCCAATATCTTCCTTGCCACCACCGCTCTTTGGTCTGCTATTCAGCTCACCTGGACAACCATTCTCCTCGGTGCCCAATTCTGGCAAATCGCCCGACAAATGACTTCCCTTGAAGTCAGCAACCTGGGCCGGTATGGGTTCATGGGCGGACGTGGTGTGATCGGAGTCGGCCAAATGGGAGCACCACAAAATCCGCATGCTAACGCTGATAACGTCGATTCGCCACGTTCTGCATCAGCGTCTCTAGAAGCTGGGCTTGGACTTCATTCTCATCACTCTCCAAATCACCCTCAAAGTCTACGTGGCTCAGGCGGACTTCTCACACTTCCCTGCCGTATATGTTCAGTCTGCGCTTCCTGTCCTGGAGCCTCCTTCCTCCTTCGTATCACCGGACTCGATCGGTTCACCGCCCGTGGAGGTGCGGCTAGAGGGTTGGCTGTGGCAGGAGCGCCTCAAAACCCCTTCGACCTCGGGTTTTACCTCAACTGCATGGACTTCTGGGGAATGGGCAAGGAAGTGGGAGTCCGATGGGAGGCGTGTTATGATATTCCCGAGGGAGGGTTCAAAAAAGCCCGAGAGGAGAGGCTGCTTGCGGAGAGAGGACGGAGCGGGGAGAGAGGTGAGATGGAACCGGGGAGTAATAGGAAGGGTGGTAGGAGGTTTTGGCGGAGAGTGTTTTCGATGCGTTTGGGGAGGTCGACGCCTTATGAATATGAGCCGTTGGCGCAGGTATAGAATGTACAGACTTTCTATTCATGTAGTTAGCCACCGACGACGTTGTAACCTAGTGTAATGTGCAAAAAAGACACGTTCCAAGATTCCTTACAAAAAAAGTAGACAAAACCAAACTTTTCCTATACCATGCTCCCTGCAAGGCTCGAACTTGCGACCTCGAGATTACAGTCATGTAATGACCTCATACTGAATGTATGAGACTCGCGCTCTAGCCAACTGAGCCAAGGAAGCACATACCTTTATTGTTGGTGAGTGGTTGTCCTCTTGATCCTCTCTACCATCTGGGTGGTTTTAAACAGGCACAGAAGTTAGAACACAGTATACCGAAGATGCAATACCGCGACTGAAACAACCATTGGGCCTACAAGACAAGATGAAGAACTAGCACTTGTCCAAGTCAATGTGACACCCAGTGGTTCAGAGCTTCAAGGGTGATAGATTTTGAGGTAGTATAGTAGTAGCAACTGCCTACCATAGTACTTACAGCTACTTACAGTCACCTGCTCGGTAATCGTTTCCAATCAATTGGGAGAATGAAAATGACAATTCTCAACACAGTAATGTTCACAATGTACTCATACATACATATTACACAAGCAGGCTCAGACAGACGTATAGCTGGATCCACAAGAGGTTACTAGGGGGGAATTTCCGAATGATTGAAGAGGGAGTTGGTGTACTGCAACTCCTGAGTCTCTTCAAGTCTTCCCTTCATACCAAAGAAGCCTAGGATTCATTGTATGCATCTGCTCTCCGAACAATGTTGCCAAACCTGTCCAGGACATGGACCCTCCAGCAGATAGGTGCATTCGGATCTACCGCATTCACTGTGTGCTCCTGATCGCTAGACAAAAAATGAAGATTAAAGACCTTTCTAGAGGTAAGTCCATTCGATTCTTACATGGCAGGATGAGTACAAACGTTGAAAGTAGCGCCTTGGTTAGTTACAGTACAATTGTGGGAAGCACTACTTCCACAGTCGGGATTGTAGCAATCTCTCTTGGGTTTATATCAACACAAAATAACAAGCCCGCCACAGAGACTGTACTCACGGTTGTAGCTCCCTCTACAGAATAAACACATCCGCAAGGACGCAGGTGAATGTAGTAAATAGTAAGACACATTATTTCCTAGCCATATATAACTTCAGTGTTATTTGTATTGGAAGAAAAGGAAGCAGCACACCTCAGTAGATGATGTTCAAAAGTATCGATGAGATAGAGGACATTACTGGACTTCTGTCATGAATTTATAGACAAATTCTCCTATGCCAGATTGGGGCATTAGAATCATCCATAGAATTGCCACAGATTCAAGTTATGTGCGGGGGGGCACACAGATCGAATGGTTCAATTCTTTTCACCACATCTCTCTGCATCTTGGGCCTCTTCGAACTCCGCCAGCAAGGTCATGTCAGTCGTGTTTCTGCAGTATTCAATGAGGTTCCGGAACCGTAGATACCCCAAATTTGCACCCACACTCACTCTTTTCATCAATTCGCCAGCATTGACTGAGTGGGGCTTGATTCCTCATAGCCTCAGATCCGCATATCCTTGTGGCAGAAATGTTAGCCGCAGCCAAACAGTGATTTCATACTGTCGTGAAAAGTCGCCTTTACCACTGAGCACTTCATAATGTGAACACTGAAGTACTGATCTTTTACTGCTACCCATCTTGACGGTTGCATCTAGGCAGTGCCACTGACATTTCTTCACTAGTAGCTTGAGATACTTTGCACTGTTTGTCATGAGTATTGGGGACGGGCCTGACCCTTGGAAGTTGGCATTTGGCTGCCACAGTATTAAGCATCAGATTGGGTCTAAACCACCGTGCTCACATCCTACCTGATTGATTTGCTTACTATTTAGAAGATCCAGGCAGTTCTAGCAGTGTCCCCGCTGGAGTGAGTCAGTCAATTTGAACGGATCCCCGAGTCACCTATCTTGATCATGGTTGTCCGGTATGAGTATTTCTTCTGCTCAGCTCCAGTTACACTAGTAGATACCGCACTGTGCACATAATCAGTAATTTCATCGGAATAGTCAACCTGTAAATGGAACTTCATTTTTCGCCCCTGTCGCCCACTGTCGCCCTCCAGATCATGGCAGTATCTGGCAGTATGCGGCCAAGATAGCCTATAAGTGACTCAGTATTCTAGCGGTATTCAATCATAACCATTGCGGACACACTTTCTGATCTCCAGATCAAGAAGTATTGCGGTTAGTTGGCTGCGATTGAGTACTTTATATTGACGACCCACCACGTTGAGCCGGACTGGATTATGAATAACCAGATGATAGATTGCTTACAGGAATATGCCTTAACTTGGAAGTGTAGTCAGTATATTAAGCCGTTCTCATGGCCTACCTATCTTGAGTACGCAAAGTAGCTCGTGGTACTATGCGTCTGTATAGTATAGTCTTCAACTTGGTTCATTCCCAGATGGATCTGACGGATAAAGTATGTGGGCCGTGGCTGTCCAGAATGACTGCCCAAGTATGACAGCAATTCTGGGACAAAATTATTACTTGAACTGACCGAGATTGATCGATATGATGTCACTTCGTTGGTTACCACTTCGACTTTTGTCAGTTCGATTTGACTTGGGTACACGACCGCTGTTTACCGCACATGGCACAATATTTCTACCTACTGACATCTACTCTACCTTCTTTACATCCTGAAATTCTTCAACTACCCTCATATGGAGCTAATTGAGGTAGGAACAGGTTGACCGCACATCTGAAACAACCAGCAGAACCTACGAATGAATGCCAGGAAAATGCAAATGGAGACCCAATAAGGAAGGTACCTTGGGGTCATGGGGTTACATTCCTAATTGGACGCCCAGTAGCATTTTAGCTAATCATGATAATACAACATGAGAAATGCGCCATCGAACTTGTTATGTAATAACAGTCAGATCTATGGTTCTACCAGCTGCTGGCAATGTGAATAGCCTCAGCTGGGTTTTGATGTCAACGCCAACACCAACTCTGTCTATCCCTTGGACGTATAAAGCATTTCGCCTCTGCATTTCTGCACTCTCTCTCCCATTATTCATCGTCTCTACCTTTCTTAATTCCTCTATAATCGCCCTCCTTTGCCAACCGTAAGTACTGGACATGTCTCGCTCTTTGCTTCAGCTGTACTGATTCGTACCCTTGCAAAGAATCATGGACCATTCACAATGGTTGCAACAATCGTTACAGGCAATGATAGCCCATAATCCTCAATTATTTCTTCAGATGATGCAACAGAACCAAACGCCGTCTGCATCATCGTCTAATTCTACGGTTTCCACCCCACCACTCCTTACATTCCCATCAGCTTCTGTACCTACACCTTCACCCTTGTCCGCTGCGTCTGCTCCTACTCCTGTGCCTTTGCATTCACCTGCTCCTGCACCTTTGCACGCACCCGATCCTGCGTCTTTGCATGTACCTGCTGCTGCACCTTTGTTGGCTGCCTCTGCTCCTGCGCCTTTGTCAGCTGCCTCTGCTCCTGCGCCTTTGTCAGCTGCCTCTGCTCCTGCGCCTTTGTCGGCTGCCTCTGCTCCTGCGCCTTTGTCAGCGACTTCTGCTTCTGCTTCTTTCAATCCTGGTTTTCCGCCTGCTCTGGCTGCTCTAGCGCCCTCTCCCATAGCTCCGAATACTGTATTGCAGTCGCAGGCAAATCAGCCCATCTCGACTTACGTATCACCAGTCTCGATGCTTTCATCAGTAACTGCAAGAGCTGGACCATCACAACCCTCGTCGAGTTCTTCGTTGCCACCACCATCGTTCCCGTCAAGTATCACTGCTATACAATCCGCAAATCGTGATCGTTTAGGCCATGCAGCTTTGACGCTGAACCACAGTACCTCTGCTACAAAGAGGAAGAGGGGCTCTGGGAAGAAGGCACCTCGCCTACATGGGGCATTCGAGGCTTCTAAGGTCGAAGATGCAATTGCAGTTGCGAACGATGGAACTCAGGTTGTTAGTTTGGTTGTATTGGTATACCCGCCGCGGCTTACACCTGACGAATGCAACGTATGTGTTTATCTTTCTCGAGGACTGTTTTGTAATATTGACTATGTGAACTTCCACAGATGTTTAATATTCCGGTTGGACTTCATCATTACTTGCAGAATCGCGATGCGTTCCAAGCTGTCCTTGAATCACTCAATCTCCTCCATCGATACGATAATCTACCGCTCGATACAAAAGTCGTCGATTTGCTCGAAGCGTTGCACTCTTCCCTCGTCCAATATGGCTGGGTTTTCCCGGAGAACCAAGATGTGTCACCCTTCTTCTCGCGACACGAGCGTCTCGCAATCCAGCTACTGCGCTTTTCGGGAAAAGGGAATACTAACAACAATGCCAAAACTCCTCGATTGAGCCCTGGAAAGGTCGAGTCAGAAGAAATGACTTTACGTCAAGTCGTCTTCAACACCGATGACTATGGAATTGCAAAATACGTGATCAACAACTCAAAGAAATTCGTCCTTCATACAAGTGAGTACCGTCTGACATACTCAACACCTCATTCTGAATAAGCTTTACTGTGTAGTTATTCGATCTCAAAAGGTTTCACTGAATGTCAATCTAGCTGAGAAAGGGCTTGGGTCTGACAACAACAGTGGTAGACATTTCTGTCTCTCGAAGCGTATCTATGGTATCTTCCGCGCGGACACGAATGCTTATGTAGATGAAGGGTACAGCGCCCTTGATGAGAGCGAGATCGAGTTAGGATGCAGCAGAGAAGATTCGAGTCACGAAGATGAGGTGCGTGCAGATGCTACCATGAAGAACATCAATTTACTGATCGTTCTTGTTCATAGGAGGTGAGAGTCGTAGCTCGAATGCTTCACGATACCTCGGAAGAATTACCTGGTGAGTCCATAAACATACTGCGATTTGTATACTCTAATATGATTGTTATGCAGCGACTCAACTTACCGTCTCGAACTCCAGCAATCCAAACGGTCAACGGGCCGCGGCCCACAGCTCGAGTTCGCGTAACAGCCCGCTGTCCCAAACGAATACCCTAGTTCAAGATATAGGACTCGACGTAGGCTATTCTCCACAAATCTGTCTCTTCGAAGCTCATGACTCAAAATCTAGGAGGTTGAAACCCTTTGGGAGACCGATTGGGTTCCCCCTCACGAAATAAATGAAAACCAGCTGTTCTATGTCCATGAGAGATCGAAGCTCTTCAAAATTGTCAATGATCGTATTCAAGAAGTCACC